AACTTTAACCCAGGTCTTCCTGACTTCAGGCCCATCATTCTATCGACTGTGCCACCTAGCCGCCCTATGAAATGTTGCAGAGGGAGAATCACTTAGTGATTACATGTTGGGGTTGAGAAAGAAAGAAGATGCAAAAATGACTCCCAGTTTGTAAACCTGGGTGACTGAAGATAATGATGCCCTTAACAGCTTAAATTGAACAGTTTTTGCATGAAGAAGATTAATGTAACTAGGTTAAGAAGGGAAGCGGTCAATGGAGCGGGGAGAGGAATCTTTGTTTCATACATCTCTAACGGCCTGCTTTCCAACGTAACTATCAGAAAACCATTCCTCAGTAGGTAAGTGGTCAAAGGATATGAACAACCCTCAAAAAAATTGCCAGCTCTCCATAAGCACATAAAAAAAGGATGCTCCAAATCACTAAGAAAAATGCAAATCAACACAACTCCAGGGTTTCACCTCATATCTAGCAAATTGGCAAAAGTGATAAAAGATGGGTATAGTTAATATTGGAGAGGTTCTGGGAAGACAGCCATATTAATACACTGTTGGTGGGGCAGTGAACTGGCCCAACAATTCAGGAAAGCAATTTGGAGTTATGTTAAGCAAGTAACTAAAATGTCTACCAAGAGTGGGGAACACGTGGCCTTCTAGGTCCTGGGTGTGGCCTTTTGCCTGAGTACAAGTTTTACAGAACAAATCCTTTTATTAAGGGGATTTGTTCTGTGAAGTTTGGATTCAGTCAAGGGGCCACACTTGAGGATGTAGAGGGCCACATATGGCCTCGAGGCTACAGGTTTCCTATTCCTGATACCCTTTGACTCAGAGATTCCACAGAAAAAAAACATACCCTAAGCAGGTCAATGACAAAAAAGGCCCCATATACACCAAAATTGTTCATAGCTGCAGTTTTTTTGTGATAGCAAGTAACTAGAAACAAAGTAAATGCCCACTGATAGGGAAACAACCGAACAAGCTAAGGCATATGAATGCAATAATTACTGTGTTACAAGAAATTATGTAAATACATTAAATACAGAGAAGCATAGAGGATGTAATGTGGACTGAAGCAAAGTGAAATAAACCAGGGAAACAATATACACTGACTACAATGTAAACAAAAATATGTAAACAGAATGTTATGAAATTATGACCAACTTTGGTTCCAAAGAGGAGATACAAGAAGGTATCTTTCAACCTTCTTCTTTATAGATGCATGGAACTCTTTGCAATATAATGTCAGATTTTCTCAATGTGCTGGCTATATTTGCTGAACTATTTCCCCACTTCTTTTTGGTTGATTGTTGTAAGGGATTACTCTCTGGAAATTAAAGGGAAGAGGGATACATTGGGAAATGTAGGTGATTTAAAAATCAATTAAGATTTTGTTTTTAAAGAAACAACAAACATGAAGAATGCTGAATAATGGGAAGATTTGTATTAACTCACATAGAGCAAATGGCGAACTATTTACAACATCATCACAGTAACATAAAAGAAGACAGCATTGAAAGACTGAGAACTCTGGTTGATGCAAAAACCAGTCTTGACTCCAGACAACCAACCACTCATCAAACACACTTTTTTTCTCTTGGCGGTGGGGTGGTGGCCTGCAGATATAGAATTGATGTACGTGCTGTCAGATATGGCCAATTTGTTGGTTTGTTTTGCTTAATAAATCTTGGTTACAAAGGGGAGCAGTCATTGGGAGATAGCATCAATGTTAAAAAATAATAATAATAAATATCTAATTTTTAAAAAATAATTCACTGTAACTTCCATGGGGCAAGTATTATGGTTATGTCCTTATGTCCCAGCACTTAAGAGATCATTTAGGCCCTTCCTATTGTGTTACCTCCAAATCTGATAAGCACATTAACTATGCCTTCTTCCAAGTCAATAATAAAAATGTTCAACAGAATGGGAAAAAGATTAGACCATGCTGCCCTCCTCCTTTTCTCAAGGCATAGCACTAAAGAATTCTCTATAGTCTCATAATAATAAAAAACACCTTTTAAAGGACAAAAGGACATTTAACTTAGGACCTTAGAGATCATCTTGTCTAACCTTGTAACTTTAAAGTTGAGGAAACCGAGGCCTAGAAAAGTTAGTGTTCACCCAACATCCCACAGACAGGAGACCCAGAATTCAAATGCTGGTCTTGTGACTCCAAATTCCATTCTACTATAAATGTAGTTCCAAATCTACCTATATGTTATCATGTGACCTGCATCTCCTCCCTCCATCATCTCCACAAGGGTATAATGAGATTTCTCTATGTAAGTTAGAAGAATATATATATATACACACACATATATATACACATATATATGTGTGTGTATATGTATATAAGCCATGGGAAATTTAGGAGTACTTTCCTTGAAAACACGTAATTAATTTTTCCACATAACAATCTTAAAGCGGTCAGAAAGAAAATTAAGTTTTAAAATTGATCACTTTGAAATTGATATGCATACAGAAAACATCTTGTAGATTCACTGTGCTAACAGAATAATATACAGTGCTAGTATTTCAACTTTAATTCAGTAAGCATTTATTAAGCAACTACTATGTGCTAGGTAGGCACTTTGTAGAGACTGAACTACAAAGACAAAAAGGAAATAATCCCTGCCCTCAAGGAGCTAACATTCTACTGGGGTAAACAACATTTACACAGATAAACAAATACCAAATTATACAAAAATATACACAAAGTAATCTCTGATGGAAGCATTAATAAGTGAGGGAATCTGAAAAGACCACTTACAGAGGGTGGCACTTGAGCTGAGGCTTGAAGGGAAATAGGGATTCTAAATGTGGAGGTGAATAGGAAGAGCATTTGCAGGCATGATCTTCCTTTAAAAGGCACAGGCTCCAAGAGGAAGGAATGTCACTTCCAAGAAGCACAGAGTAGGCTAATTTTGCCGGAATGTTGATTGTATGAATGCAAGTAATGTGAAATCTGTCTGGAAAGACAGGTTGAAGCGAGACTAAGAAGGGCTTTAAATAAATACTGAACAGAAAAGTGAGTATTTTTATGCCAAAGGACATAGGGAGCCATTGAACCTTCTAGGTAGAGGAATGACAATGTTAGACTTCAACTCCAGATAGGTAACTTCTTTTAACTTCATTTTAGATAATTATACAGTAGGCACTTTGGAATTTCCACAGAATATGAAAAGATGGAAAATTGAGTTAAGGGAACTCTTGCACAATCAATATAACCTCACACAAAATCAGTTGCATGACATTATAGTCACACCTTGTATGTATCCACATAGACTAAAGACAAATGTAGGAAAAAGTATGAACCCCATTTGTGGATAGGTTGATGGGAGGGAAGTATATTGGTTCAATGCCTTGCTAGAATATATTTGAAATTTCAAGACTGCAGATTCTCTTATTCTTCTTCCTAATACCAAACTACAATATGGGAAGAAGCTATATGAATTGCTCATTGGAAGAAAGCATTCTTTTTAAAATAGTGGTTATACCACAGGATTAAATAAATCCAGATTACTATAAGGAAAACTTTCCTGACACTATGTATTCAAAAAAATCCTTCAAGAAATTAACACAGGAAAAACCAAGTGGATGAAGGCATATTGCCCAGATTGTGACTTACATTTGAAAGAGTACCAAATTGAATTTTTCTATCAATGTAGATAGAATTGTAATGCCAGGCATCACAATTCTAATTGCCAATTCAGTCATCACAGATGACTGAAGCCAAGTTGAAGAGGGACAAGTGAGTACTAGATAGTATTTGGTAAATTGTCCAGTGTTTTCAATAATCAAATGCAAAAGTCTTTTTAAAAAAAAACTAATATTCTCCCAATGAATCACAGAACACTACAATTTTCAAAGAACCAAAACTGAAAGTAACCCAAAGAGCAGTAGAAAGAAGCATGATGGATATAAACTACCACACATTGTCACTGTAAAATAAGTGACATAAAATATGGTGAGGATCTCTCTGACTAGAAAACGAGGTATGGGGATAAGAGATGGACCATCTGGGTTTTGCACTGGCACCCATGAAACATGAAAAGACCTAGACAAAGGCCTCCATCATGTTGGACATGCAGTCTAAGATTTTATGGAAGAACAAAAATCAGAAAGGATAATGTATGGATCGTCTAATGATCTATACTGGTAGAGGGAGTATCCACATAAGATTATGAATACATTCAAAAGGGTTAAGACAAGTTTTTATTTATTCTACGCAGAGGTATTTTAAAACAAGAAATTCCTCTTTGTTTGGGATGATTTAGATGTGACCTAGCTAGGGGAATGAACTAAATGACCTCAAAAATCACTTACTGTCCTAAGCATCTAAATTTAATATTGTCCTCGAGTTATTCAAGTATTAAATAAGTCAAGATTTATGAAACTATAAAACAGTTTCTAGTCAAAAAAGGTAAATTCCTGTATTAAGTAGAATTAGATTATTTAAGGTGAATTTTAAAAATCCTTTAATATGGAGAGAGGGAGAAAAAGAGAGAAAGAGATGTTTGAAATATAATGCATCTTTCTTAAGCATTCCCTCTAGAAATTTTTTGTACTTGTTCATTATTTTTTGGAGAAATAGCGTGAGAAATTCCTTCTAAAAAGTCCCTAGTTATCTCTCAGGTTTCCCAAACAACCTATTTAATTTTGTCTACTTCAAAATAAAACCCTACACATTATTCTGTGTACCACTAACTAAAAATTTCATTGACTTAGGGCCAACTTTTTCCAAAGATGAGCTTAAATAGCAGTTGCCTATTGTATACTCTGAATGTAGAGAAAAATTAGTCCTAAAATTATGTACATCTTCTACTTTAGAGAATTAAGTACAGTACAAAGCAAACTCAAGGCAACACAACTTGTCAATTGCCAAGAAATTGTTTGTAAACAGTGTTAAAAAGTAAGAAGAAACAAAACATTTTCTTTCTTTGACTAATTTGGTATGAAATGTTAAAGTCTGAATTTAAAACCAAAAAACACCCCAATTCATATTTAGGTCACTTCCAAATTTTATTTCCAACTACTGCAATAAACAAGAAAATACCATGTAATTTTGCATGTAAAGTGGCAACCTTCTGTAGTAAACAAGGTCAGAAATACTCAATTCTGTCCCGTAGATGTTCTTGATAAAACAGGATTACAATTCCCCTATATGACCAAATGTCAAAATCAAATCTTGTTTAGTATTGCAGATTTATGGTTCCTCAATATCTAGTACTAAAAATATTTATCTTACCACTGTGGTTGATATGTATTAATCTCTACATTTTGTAACCACTAAAAACTATTATCTTTGCAGGTTGTATTGTGCCTGGAGACCAGAGATAGATGAAGGATAATACCAGCCCATGTTAGCTTTTTTTTTCTTATACTGTACAGAAATACCAAAAACTTTAGCATTTTTGTACAATGTTGTAAACAAATACTTAATTGGAAAAATAAAAGTATGTACTCCCCCTATGTATAAACTGTTCCTAGGGGTAAAAAAGATAAACACCATTACAAATGCAAACTGAGTCAAATGTCTGGTTTATTGATAGGAGTTCAAAATGAATACAAAAGATACCTCCTTTGCATGTTGTGTTTTCTCCTTAAAAGATTTCTGACAGAGTCAGGTAGATTAAAAGCTAAGAATGTCTTTCAGCTTTTATACTGTACCTTTGACAAAAGGTATAATAATAGGTAAGCCACCAACATCAGATAACATGTGGTCCCATAGTCATTTTTAGACAAACAGCTTATCAAAAAGATTAGATCTTGCAATGATTTGCTGAAATAGAGGCTTAAAAATGTTTTAAGCCATTAAGAGCATTTTATGACATAGTCAATAATTTTTTGTAATTTGTATGAGTATCTTGGGCAATTAAGAAAAGGCAAATCCCAAAATGTAGCCCTCTATGCTATGTGGAATGTGCTTCCTAAGAACAGGACATGAACTGATGACCAGAACAAGTAAAAACAAGAGATTTAAAGCTATTAATGGAGTTGTTATAACATTCTCCTATCAGTGAAAAATAATGAGAAAATGAGTAACAGTTTACCAAGATTATAACTCGTGCAGATGGTACCTAAAAGATGTTTACTTTTCTAAAAAATAAAGTTGACTGCAGAAAGTTACTCATTGAGATTTTTTTCATGGTACTTCTTTTCTTTTATTGGGACCATAGACTGATCAGACGATACATAGCCCACACTTTTGGACAGTTATAATAAAAAAGATTTATTATCATTGAAATAAATGCACCATCCCACAGTTAAAAGGCTTAAATAAGCCACAAGCAACTTCCAGGTTGTACCCATGGCAAAATATTGCTAGACCTCCACGGGCAAGTTACATAATGCACTCATACTGGGCAAAGAAACTAAACAACTCTCCTCAACAACACTTCTGCACTATGTTTCTGTTTTACTGCACAGTTCCATCATAACAGCAAAAAGTTTGAAAATGTGTGCAAATAGTGTAGTCAGTTCAGAGTATTGTTTAGTCATCATCATCTTCTTCCTCTTCTTCTTCTTCAAAACTATCTTCAAAGCCCTCACTATCTTCCTGGTCTTCATCTCCCTCTATTGTTGTATCCCACTGTGGGTGATTTTCTGGCACCGGCTTAGCTTCATGAACTTCCAACTGCAAAACAAAGTTTGAGTGTTGAAATTATCATTTTTATTAATAGCAAATGATAACTGATGCTTACAGACAGTATTTTATAGCTTACAAAGCACTTGATATATATTATTTCATTTGTTCCTTACATAGAGCAAATAGAAAGTCAGAAGACCTGGGTTACAATCTTAGCTCTAATATATACCAGAAATATGACCATAAGCCATCATTTCTCCAAAGAACACTTAGCTTTGAATTTTTGATTTTCCTTCGTATCTCAGCCACAGTCTAAATTTGGATGTGTATCAGAAGGCTGAAGAAGACTTTGCACACCTTTTCCCCAGGACATACACAATGACTGCATTTATTTTTCAGTACCTTTTGAGTACATTTTTATAAATACTGTCTTGTCTTCCTGTGGCACACAAATGGCAGGCAAAGTAAAATGATCTTTTAGTGTCCACCCCTCTTTGCCTTGAATACCCAACCAGTCCTATGCCTTCTAATAGTTTAGAAGTCACTGCTGCATTATAAATTAGAATGACTTCTGCAGCAAATGGGCAGCTCCAGCAATAAACTGAACCCTAGTGGGCATGTACTTCAGATGAGTGGGTTGCAATGTTCTTCATTAGAGAAAGGAAACTTCAGAATGTCAAACTCCTAAGATGAGGTCATCAAAAGTAGTTTATGCAGGAGCAAAGAATAAACTTTTCTAAAGGTATGATTAATCTGTCCTCAGGTCCTACCTCCCCCTCCAGCAGGTATTCATTCTACAATATTCCCTTCAGGTAACCATCCAACCTCTACTCGAACAATTCCATCAACAGGGAATTATTTTATATCCCATTCCACTTCTAGGCAACTTAGAAAAAAAAAATTTTTAATTGAAATAAAATTTATCTCCTTGTAATTTTAACTCACTGGAACTAGTTTTGCTCTCTGGAGCAGAATAAAGCTAAATACTCTTTCACATGATAGTCCTCCAAATACTTTAAGACAGCTAGATAACTGTCATCACCAAACCTAACTCCATCACACCCCCCCTCCCAAGTATTCTCTTCTCTAGACTAAGCATTCCCAATTCTTTAAGGTCTTCCTCACATGGCATGGCTTTGAGAACTTTCACTTTGTTCTAGTTACTTTCTTCTGGACATCTTCCAATTTGTCACTACTGCTGTGCAAGTATGACACTCAGAACTGAATATAACACAGCAGGTGTGGTCAAATCAGTACAAAGCACAACATAACTTCACTCTAGTCACTATACTTCTGTTAATACAACCTAAGGTTTTCATTAACTTTTCTCAAAGTGCTTTCATACTGCTGTTTCAGAGGGTTTTCAGTTGGCTTGTCAATTCAAACTTCTAAACTGTTACAGATCTTAATATTAAACTTCAAAAGAAGTATTTTATTCTTAAAAACACACCAGCCCATAATACAATCCACACATAAAAACATCTGATGAACTCTTTCCTAACCTATTATTTACTTCTACAAACTAAAGATAGTTTAATCAAATAATTATTCAAATCAAGAAACAGGTAATACATTTATTGAATGGTCTTTAATTCCTACCTTCAATGGCTTAATCTGGTCCAAACCCATATAGGAATCTGATCTTAGATATACTGTATACTGATAATTTCCGGGTTTTCCTGGAGCAGGGAACTTCAGTTCTACCTGAAAGATAAAGACAAATTTGCTAACTTCAGAGAGATGATTCTTGGCTCTTACAAATGTTAAATTAAGCCTAACAGTTGCTGTTTCTCTAGTGCTATACGGTTTACAAAATAAAATTCTTAAATGCAAGATCACATGAGCTTCATAACAACTCTTTAAAGGTAGGTACTACAGGTATTATTAAACCCAATTTTACAGTTGAGGAAATAGGAAGAGAGAGAGGTTAAATAACTTGTTCATTGACACACAGTCAAGTCAGTGATGGAGACAATATGTGAAGATGTCTTTCTTGATTAAGTCCAATACTCCCTTCATTGCTTCTCAATACAAAATAACACATAAACCACAAAGAAACCAACCCAGGGAAACTGAGACCATTTATTTGTATTCCCATGATTTTTAATGCAAGAGAGAAATTGCTACAAGGAATCCAAGTTATATGTTGGCATTTTCAAAATAAGAGCTTTCATTTAAGAGGAATTTTGAAGATGAATCCAAGACTTTGAAAGGTCTCTGAAAAATTTATTATTTGGTATAACCAAATTTACAGAAATCACAATAGTGTGTGTGGAAGCTAATCACAATATTGGCTGAGTGGGTAAAGAAAATGGAGACACTTTTTCCTTTTCTTACTTCTAAATGGCTCATTGACAGGGTTAGGTAGGGCCTTTTCTGGCAGTCAAGAAAATAGCCATTTTACCTAATGGATATATGCAGGGATAATGTAAATTTTTACTATATAAACCATTTAGAAACACGTAGAATAAGAAAGTCATAAGCTAGAAAGACAGAGGAGTTAATGGATAGGGGTCAGAGAAAAGGAACAATGACTCCCTTACATACAATCTTAGCTTGAGTAAACTTCTGCCTTTTAACTCCTTTCTGGAGTTTCAAAGCCAAGTGATCTGCTATATAAACTATTCTACCACATATCATTGTGGCCATACAGAGAAATAGTTCTATCATTATATCAGCGTAACCACAACTAGCTTCTCATGGCTTCCTAAAATTAGTGAATATTAACATATTGCTAAAAAAAAAGATTCCAAAGACCATAGGGTTGTACCAGGATTTAAAAATAAAGTAAAAAGGTAAAAATTTCCTTAGATGCTCCTCCTGTTCAAATTACAGGATGGCAGAGAAATCTTGGCCAAGGCAAGGAAAAGGATCCTATTTTCATCTGGACATATTTTTACCTATTGTCATTTGGTCCCACAAAAAAAGGTTGCTTTTATCAGGTGTTTTGATTTTTTTTTTTTAAATTAAGGTCAGGGCATGGTAGCTTGCCTATTCCATTTTGGCAATATATTTCTACTATTTAAATGTGTGACATCAATATATCCAGGTGAATCTAGTCTATGAAATTTATTTAATAGTACACTGGTAAATGTAGAATTAAATTGCTTTATTCATTTTAAAATTTAAAACAAAAGTTAAGGCTTTGCTGGACATGAAAACAATAGCAGAGAGCATCTGAAGTATGAATAAGCAAAACATAAAGCTCATGTGGGGAAAAAACAAGGATATTTTTAAACTGGACCTTCATTATTTATTATTAAATTGATTTGGTTGCAACAATGCAAATCTGCATGTCACTTTTGCTTCTGGCCAGGGTAACTATTATAATGTTCAACTCTAATAACTAGAGGAAGATAAAGTTTAAAATATTTTTATTATTATCTTTATTATAAATTGTGTAAATTTTTAATAAAAATACACACATGTGAACATCACACAAGTATCTGACCCAATGTCAGAGAAAATCTGACAAATGTTATCATAATTTGTAAGCTTTTGTCAATCTGAATTCTACACTGGTATATCATATATATATATATATATATATATATATATATATATATATACATATATAAGAAATTAACTTAGGCATTTGGGGCTTTTTAAAAAGGCTATCCCAAATAAAGTTTTGTTAATTCTAACTAAAAGAATCCACGATTCTGAAATTCAATTGTTTGGCGACATCAACAGTGGAAGTATACCTGATTAATATTAGTAAAGATGGAAATATGCCCCCTCTTTATTTAATATAATGCTATTCTTTATGATAAAGTGTAATTACTATGAAATTTAAAACTGGTAAATGAGCACAAAGATTTACTTCAAGTGAATAACACAGGTACTTACTGAACGTAATGTGCTTATTGGGAATGTGAAATAATTGGCATTTACAAGATTAACTACTATGTTTAGACCTTAAAATGTCATAGATCTGTGCCAGTGCTGGCTGGAAATGAATTTAAAAAGAAATCAGTGTACTTGTGAGTGTAGAACATTATCCTAGGAAGTAGCATGCAATCTGTGATCTGATGAACTTAGTTAAGTCACCAATGGAATCAGACTTTTCAATCATTTTCTTAAAGACCCAGAGATCATGAAGAATACATGAAATTCAAAATAAGACTAATTTTCTACTATTCCTTAATTTATCCTTGTTCATAAAGCTAATTTTTAAAAGTTAGTGGGGTATTTTTCTATGAGTGCTGAAACTGTTTATAAATTATGCCACTTCAATATGGAATTTGAGGACATACTGTTTTTTAAGCATGTTGTTTAGGACAGATCTAGTATAACAAAGCAAAGTAGGGGGGGCAAACTCAAGAAGGAAAGGAAAACACTGACAGTTCAGAAAACAAGGGGAAAAGGTAAAGTGATAAGCTACCATACTAAAGTAAGGACAAATAAGAAACTAATGAAATTAAGGTAAACTGGAAATTAATCAACATAAACCCAGGGCTTTGAAAACCGTTCAGCACTAGAATGACCTAAGCTGCCTAGCAACAGCAAGCAAGCTACTGTTTCCAAAAGCAGTTGAACCCAGTATAACCCTACCTGCTAGTCATCCAAGACAATGTAAAAGATGCTTTGGTTGTTTTAAAGCCTCAGTCTTTATGAAGATATGCCTATGCAACCTTGATTTGGACCTTTATACTATTCTTCATCAAAGGGGTCCAAGAGTTTCTGTGGAACAAGCAGGCAGTCTCAGCAAAGCAAAGAAGACAGCCTTGGTATGCCCTTATATTTATAAAAGGCAATGACACTTTGAAAGTTCTTATAGAGTGGAATGTTGAAATTAATAATAGACAATTTAAAAAAGACATCCTTCTGATAGCAGATTTTCACTGATATGAGAAGCAACAATACAACACAGCTAGAACAAATTCCATGAGGATATGTGAAATGGGAAGACTAAAGACAAATGCATGCAGAGATACTTTTTTTTTTGCAGCCATGCTATTTAATTAGTAAGGTTCTTAGTAATAAAATAATGGTATACCAATGTATGCATTGGTAAGATGCAGTAGGATTTGCTATTCACTATTTCTAATCATTTCAAGTTTCCTGGAGGAGGGAAGGATGGTAAGAGATTAACATCTTTCTCTACAAGTGTGCTTTGGGCATCAAACATTACAACAACATTATGTACATTTCGTTCAAATTAAAGCACTAGGAAGAACCCTTGGAAATGCTTTCAAATTATGATACATGGAGGTAAAGGGCATATTAATCAGGGCACTATACCAAAATAAAGATAAAAGAACCTCTCCCATTATTAATGTAAAGCAGGTTCTGGACAACGAAGACACACTTATTAAACTCTCAAACAGAAAATGGTTAAAAGTAATTGGGATAAGTTTGTTTGCAAAATAGGAAAGAAGGTAATTAGAAGAGAGATTTGGAGCAGACATACTAAAGTGGAAAGATAAAAACCTCTGTTGTATAATATAAAAATCTGGCAGGCTGGGGCAGCTAAGTGGCACAATGGATAGAGCTCCGGCCTTGAGCTCTGGCCTTGGAGTCAGGAGGACCTGAGTTGAAATCCGGTCTCAGACACACACCAAAAAAATACACAACACTTACTAGCTGTGTGACACTGGGCAAGTCACTTAACCCGGATTGCCTAGCAAAAAAAAGAAAAAAAAAAAATCTGGCAGGCAAAAAATGTATTGTCCTTGTCTGTTTAAAAAAAAAAAAAAGGAGGGGGTAAAGAAGAGAACTTGCACTAAATGATCTGTAAGGTCCCCTCTAGCCCTGACCTATGACCCCGAGAGTCCAATGCACCAAACTCTTTATGTCTAACCCAGGTCTACTTCATGGGGAACCTAGACTACTAGATGACACAGTGGACCAAGTGCTGGGAAATGGAGTCAAAACCAGCCTTTGATAGTTATAAGAAAGCAGACTGTAGAGGAAGTGGAAAGCAATTATATCCCTAAATATCCTAAGACAAAATATTGTTTGCTACAAATGTCCATTAGTCAAGATAAATGTATCAATGTATCAAACATAACAATGTCACTACAAAAATATTTCTTGTTTATTTTCTCAGATTCTATTCTTAAGTAGTTCAAAGAGGGAAAAAACATTTATTTTTTAAATAGAATGCTTAAATATTGAGCAACAGATTAGTGGGGGGGAAACCCTGTAAAATTTGTACACAACGCAATTCCTGAAAAGGAGAAATACATAAACTTTTATTTTATTTAGCATTAAAATATCCAAACTGCAAAAATTTTGAAAAGCAAGTGTTAAAAAGATTGTCTCACCATTAAACTCTGATAATCTATCATATACAAATCTTAACTGAAGGCAAAAGATTTTGCTTCCATGGAAAAACCGAAAGATATTCTAGAGAAAAAACGATTTGGTGGAGTGTGCAAGGGAAATAAACATAAAATTTTAAGGTCAGAAAGAAAAGGAACAGTGCTACTATATACATACATATGTGACAAATATTGAAATGGTATTACGCAATTAATTACCTCTTCCATATCTTTTAACGTGCACACATGGTATGGCATAGATATCAATGTTTGTTCCTTCCTATCTGCAATATAAAGCCACCACCACTCTTGTTTTTCCTATGGAGGGGAAGAAGAAAAAGTCCCATAAATTATTAGGAAAAAACACAACAGCTTTACATTAAAGGGGAGGGTCGTATGGAAGTAGGAGAAAGTGGGAAGAAAAGGACTACAACACTAAAAACAAAAAGCATCAATAAAAATTTCAAAATCAACTTAACTGGGTGAATTTAGAACTAATATTAGAAAATTTATATCATAATCAGATGATTGGCAAATATGTGTAAAAGAAAAAGTATAAAAGATAATAGTTCCCTTATCTGGAAAGCTCATTTATCAGAGAACCAAGAATCAAAAAGTAAACCAAACAGACTCTAAGCAGTCAAAATATGTAACCAATTAAAGAAGTATTTACTAAGCACTTAACTATGTGCCAGGCACTACGCTAAGTGAGCACTAGGGATACAAAGAAAGGCCAATACAATGCCCACTCTCAAGGAGCTCACGTTATAGTAGGAAAGACAACACTTAAATTACCGGGCATATGATAAGTGAGTACATACAAAGTAGATGGGAGGTAATCTCAGAGGAGAAGGCACTACTAGCTGCTGGGAAGGGGGGGGGGGGGTAGGATTGGCAATGTCTAGGGAGGGGTGGAAAAAGAGTACATTCACAGGAGGGTCTGCTCACCGATACCGTGGTTGCTCTTACTCTACACACCAATCTAACAAGTTTTTAACTGCCTGGTTTTTTAACCCAAAGCAGAGGAAAAGGAACTTGCTACAGGAAGGTACAGACTTAGCAGTAAGAAGTCCCAGTTGACAGCAAGGTGGGATATGTAGACACAACGTGAAAAGTGCTGTCATCAAGTGTCCTAAAGAACAGCAGCAAACAGCTGGATAAAGCTCAATGGGTTCTAAGGGAATCAATGTGTTATAAAACAGTTCAATAACCGATATTCATAATGAACTTCAATCATCAAGAAAAGTTTAAAGTTCAGTATCCTCTGTTTAAAAATAAGGAACAATAAAAAAAAAATAAGGAACAAGATAACAGTTTTTCCCTCTAAAATGATTAAAGGTTTTTGGTCTTATTTTTTTAAGTTTTCTGTTTAATGGTGCAAATCTTCAGCTATCCAGAATGACCCAAGTACCTGGAATATTCTCCCACTACCTGTATCTGTTTAAATCCTCCCCATCCTTCAAAGCTCAGCAAAAATGCTACCTTTCATTAAGTATTCTTGATTCTTCCCCCAACAGGAAGCACATGTTCTTCTCTCAATTCCAGTAGAATGTAAACTGCACCCCCCCCATACACACAGACACAGACACAGACACACACTCTCTCTCTCTCTCTCTCCCCCCCCCTCTCTTTTGTTATGGCACAGACCACATTGTACCTAGCAATACAGTCACGTATGCACCTGGTTTATCTCCCCTACTACAACATAAGCTCCCTGAAGACTGTCCTTTGCATGTAGTAGTACTCAATAAATGTTTGCTGAAAAATGAACCTGATTTTTTAGGAAAAGATTATAATTTTTATATTATCACAAGAATTATCATTAGATCACAGTTTTATTTTACAAGAGCCAACAATTGGTTAAAATTAGAGTCTTTTCAAAACAATCACCTAATTTCAAAAGAAAAACTATCTTAAGATGCCTCCACTTTTATATTTTATATGAAATTGTGTATTTCATATAAAATTCCACATGACTAAGACATATGACAACATAAACTAAGGCAATTATTTTCCTAATATTAAAATACATTATACTTATGACCATATAAAACTAAAGATGACCAAGGAAAAAATACCTGAGTTCTCTTATGTACAGAACCCCCAGAGTAGCCCTAAATTAACACAAACTTTTTATGTATTATACTTCACTTGAAGGAGCAAGAACACAAAGTTAATTTAACATGTTAATTTTGTACAGGGAAGAGTATATTCCATTGTCAGATTTTTGATAAGAGACATGTTTCAAGATGTAGATTCCATCTCCCCTTTATAGATTTGAGAAATCTGCTCCCTGTGACAACCTCAGCAAGACTTCCTTCCCAGAACAACTTCATTTAAAGGAATTTTGTTCAAGGAGGATCCATTAATGGAGGTCAATGCTTTCATGAATACACAGAGATACTCCATAACTAAATAAATATTTACATTTTAAAATATTAGGTATCCTGATCCTACTGTTGACACATTAACTATAAATGAATTTTGGCTACATGTCAGCTTCAAAATAAGATTCACATAGCAAAACTAAGAATTCCATACCTCCCAGGTGAATTTCACCTGAGAAATGACTACCCTCACATTTTGGCCAAGGCACTAAAGGCCTATGAAGAAAGGACCCGAATCCTGTGAGGAAAAAGTAAGTATGGGAGCTATTTGAGAAATCTCATAGAGGAACACCTCCCTGCCAAGCTTCATTTATTAGATCTAAGGTACTAGCTCATGAATTTAACAATAACAACAAAAAAAAGTTACTTAATATACTTCACAAAGTTTTTCCTACTGAATTTAGGAACACACTCTAAATAAAAATCAAGAAAAGGTATTCACAGATAACAGTCTCAAAAGGATGGGCCTCCACAGTTTTATAATTTCTTTTTATAATCGAGCACCCAGCCCCAAAGTGAAATTGTTACATAAATGATAAAAGATATCACTTGTGAACCTTTTTAAGCCAATCACTGTGGTCCCTACATCAGAACTGATCAGGACTACATTCATTAGCATAAGGCACAGAAAACATACAAACTGTGAAATACTGAAGAAAGGGGGAAAAAAATTATAATCTTGAAAAAAACTACTGTCTGTGTACCACTCACCTCAGGAAAGTAAAGACTGTAAACAGGGTGTGTTATCTTTGATTTGGTTTCCAGCAGAGCTCTCTCCTTCCGCTGTATACTTTGTTGTAATTCTTGCCACTCCTATTTAAATAAATGACAAATCATTTTACTGTTAAATCAGGCGATGAGGCTAACATAATATATTCTCTTAAATAAGTCATTCTGCTCTGAGGCCTACATAATATATACTTTACCTCTTCCTATGAATTAAAGCAACAACCCCACCTCATATTTGCAAATCCTAAAGCAAAACACTGTTTCTGTTTTTGTGTGTCCACATTTCAGTTGTGCTGTTATAGTTTCATGTTAGTACATAATGGATATTGTATACAATTATATTCCTTGCTCCCAACTTCTCCTTACATCCTTCAATAATCTTTTCTCTTTCAAAATGTATGCAACAGACAATCTTCTCACCATTTTTATTACTATCCTCTATTGATTTCCCGGTCATTCACTCAATTTAAATAACTCTGTCATATATTCAAGTCTTTCTCTTTCTCCCACTTTCTACTTTTAGCTTATTAATTTCAACATGTGTACAGACAACCCCCCTAATTCCAGACCACTACATTCTTCAACCTCATCACCTTTCTTCAGCTTCACACAAGGCATGGACTTCAATATCTCATGGAATTGTACTAGCTCCAAGTTTCTGCATGTTCAAATTCCACTCACCAACCCATAACCCTTAGTTTTCCATCTGTCATATTCCTCCATCACATCAAACTTACCCTTTTCCATTCTCAATAGATCTTACCTGTCCCTTTACCTTTTCCTAATTTTCCAGTCACTCCCGTGCTATGGCTTCATTTGTTTTCATACACATACAGCTCTGACTCTTCACTCTGCCACTGCTGCACTGTTGTAGTCATCACCCAAGAAGCCCTCACTCCACCCCACCCCCAACCTTCCAGTATTCCCAGCTTGCTAATTCCCAATCCTGGGACCCTCTATCAGCCAATTTCTCTGCTACTGCATTACTGCTAGTAATGAACAAAGTCTGGACAAAATCACAAAAAGCAAGCTGATTTTAGCCATTATAAATTTATAAGTATAACCTCACAGCTGGGCTTTTATTATTACCTAGGTATTCAAATGCAGAAGAATGAAAATTCCCTGTAGTGCCAGTGCTAAATCACTTCTCTCTTAAGCCCCTGATCACCTCTCACTCCCACAACAGAAGACCTAGCCCCTACTTTACTGAGAACACTGAAGGCATTCCAGTAACTCAAAGTATCATCCTTTCTCCTCTGAAGTCTCAAAAGAGGTATCCTTACGATTCAATGCCAAGGATAATCCCTCTACTTATATCCTTGGATCACATCACCTCTTGCTTCCAAGGACCTTAACTCTCTTCTCATTCCCTTTCATTTATGCATCTGCAATCTTTCTCTTTGCACGAGCTCTTTCCCATATGGCTTGCCTCTTACCTCTACTCTTCCAAACAGTTACCAAGTCCTATCGAGCATATATCCAGAGTATATCCTAAATCTATGTCCTTCCTCCTTCTCACTCTCCCTATCTTCATTACCACTACCCTTGTAGAGTCTTCAGTAACAGCTAACATTTATATATCACTCTAAGTTTGTAAAATGTTTTACATATATAGGGTATCCCAAAAACCTCACTATAGTTTAAAGCTTTATGAGCTTAAATGTACTATCTCACTTGCTTTACATAAGGAGCTATGATTATCACCCCCATTTTACAAATGAAGAAACAGGCTAAGGGCATGACTCACCCATGATCCCAGACAAGAGCCAGAGACAGAATTGGCCCTCATCTTTCTGATGACAAGTCCAGCACTCTTGCCCCTCTACTACCCTACTGCCTAACCACTTTCCTCAGTGACTACAATAGTTTCCTAACTGGTACTTCCGCCTTTACTGTTTCTCTCATCTGATCTATCCATTAGTAATTTTCTGACTAAACATAGTAATGGCACATTCCTGGTTCAAAACCCTAAACTGGATCCCTTAAATGCCTACCAAATAAAGTGCTGATGCATACTATGTATACTTTTCTTATTTTCTAACACTACTGCCCTTCATGCACTTAATTCTAAAAGCTAAAGTTTGCCATCCCCTCTCTATGACATACTTTCCTCAAGCACAAGCATTTGCTTATACTATATGCTAGACCAAAAATGTCTCATTCTGCCTGTTTAACAAATTTCTTTAATGTTCAATTCAAATACTGATCCCTTTATTGAGTAATGAATTCTTCTTCCTTAAACCCTATACATTATAATTAAAATTATCACATATATTTTTATATTTTATTTGTGTCACATAACCCAACTAGATGTGTAGTCCCATGTTTCTAAGCTTTCCAACTGTCCCATTTCCTTGCCCAGTGCTCTGCACACAATACACACTTAATTTCTGTTTGAACAAAACCGTTAAATATTGAATCAATAGTGGTGTGCTCAGTACAGAACATTTATTGTGGATTACTTGTGGTAGGCTGTCCATGCATTCAATGTCCTCTACTGTTCTCTGAAGTAGTATCAGCTTTTCTCTTACTAACCCAATCAGAATTAGGAGACAGACTTAAGGAAAATTCCAAGGTATAGGACTTTCGAGTAAACAACTTGCTTCTGGTCATCTGGGAAACTTCACTACAGTTTGTCCCTGCATTCCACAGACTGCTGCTAGCAGAGAAGGCACAGTAGTGGACCACCACAGACCTAAGACCTTTTCTTTGGTAAATACTGGTCTAGTGGTTACAGAAGGGGTTAAGGAGTGAAGAATAAGATCTATTAGCAGACTGTGGCCCAACTTGCTTTCTGACCTTGACTAAAAATTCCTCACTATAAAGTAAACAACCCGATAATTATACTATTAAAAGGATATAGATTTTTTTCATTTTTTTTTCCTAATGTGAGCAAACAGAGGTACAGTTCATAAATCTAATAAGCTCATAATATAAAGCTTACTGCTTCATCATCTTTGTTTTGTTTTTCATCTTGTTCTCGGTCAGAGTCTCTGTCACTTCCGTCATCTTTTTCACTTTGGGAGTCCCTATTTGTTTCTTCTTCCTCAGAGTCACTGCCTTTGTCAGATACATCGTCATCTTCTTCTTTTATAGCAGCCTCCTAGGAAGAAAATGAAGGCACAGAAGAACATTTAATTACTTGGGAAAGGGAAAGAGAAGGCTAAGGGAAAAAATGTTATACCCCAACTAAGGAATTCCAGCTTAACTGCCCCAGGTAGAAAACTCCTTGAAGACACAGCTTGGTTCTTTTTTTTTATCTTTGTATCCCCAAAACAAGAACAATAACAGATATTCGACAAAGTTTTATTGAACTGAATTGTGAAAAATATTAGTTCACATAGCAAATTATTTAGGTGAGATAGTGTTGTCTGAGTAGTTTAAGGAAAAGGTTTTCTAAAGTCTGCTTTAAAATGAAATGCTAACAATATTTTTATTTAAAAGTTTTAAGATCTAACAGATATTTCAAAATATTAAACATTTCTGCATTGTTAATTTTGTGTTATCTGCATGTCATACTCATTACTTCTCGGATCCACCATTTTGTTAGCTCGAGTATTTACCTCTCCCACAGAGATGACAACCTATCATCCTGCACTCAGCCTCTCTGCACTTAGTGAAGCCTAGTCCCTGATGACAGATGTATAAACTCACCACTAAACCCAAATTCAAAGCCCCTTCCCATTTGGTAGAACTTGCAAGAGTTTGCATTCTACTAAAACAGACTTAAAATGCAGGGATGCCTCCATGCTCCAAAGAGTATGATTCTATTGGGCAATACATTTTTCATCCTTTAAAAAAAATTTATTTTTATACTTAAAATACACTATAGTTGTTGTCAGGAGGGTGGGAGGTCCCCTGCTCCCACTCCCTGGGAGATCACAGTAATGGTTGTTGAGTGGGGAAAGACAGGGAGATTGTGTACAATGAAGGCATTTTCCAACAAACAAGTAAAGGTGCTACTTAGGGAAGAACAGAATTGCTCCCGAGATTATCACTGGTATGGAAAGGAGGTTCCTGGCTAGGACAGCAGAAAACTGGGGCTGTATTGGGTATCTAGGTACTCCCTCCTCCCCCTCACCCCCAAAGCTGAAGCTGAGACCTAAAAGGAAGAGAAACAGGCTTTCCCCTTTCTAGTCTAGTTCGCAGGCTGGTTTTGTGATTTTCTTAATAAATTTTAATTATGAAACAGTAAAAACATTATTTTTGTTTTGCTGGGAAGTCTATACCCAACTGTGTAATATATTCTTCCCTCTTTGAACTAGTACAGATGAGAGTAAGGTTCAAGCATTGTCTTCTCCCTACCATTTTCTCCTCCACTGTAAAATAAGTCTTATTTGCAATGCCTCTTTTATGTGAGATAATTTTCCTTTCTCCCTTCTTCCAATACATTCCTCTTTCTCAGCCTTCCGTTTTTCTTTTGAGAGCATTCTAACATCATAATCACATTCATACCCTCTGTCTAATTAGACCCCCTCTAACTGCCATAATGATGATCAAGTTTTTGGGAGTTATATGTATCATTTTCCCATACAGTGAGTGTAAACAGTTTAATCTTAGTTAAGTTCTTCATGAATTCTCATTCGTGTTAACTTTTTTATGTCTCTCACTTGAGTCTTGTGTTTAAATGCCAAAATTTCTATTCAGCTTTAGTCTTTTCATCAGGAATGCCTGGAAGTCCTCTATTCATTAAATATCCATTTTCCCCTCCCTGTAGAATTATTTTTAGTGGTAATTCTAGAGCCCTTTGCCTTCCAGGATATTATATAACATGCCCTCTACTCCTTTACAGTAGTAGCTGCTAAATCCTGTGTGATACTGACTATGGCTCCATAGTATTTGAATTAATTCTTTCTGGCTGCCTGCAGTATTTTTTCCTTTACCTGGAAACCCTGGAATTTTGCTATATTCCTAGGAGTTTTTATTTTGGGATTTATTTCAGGTGACAGGCAAATTTTATTTCTACTTTGCTTCTGGTTCTAAGATATCTGGGCAATTTTCCTTTATAATTTCTTGAAATATGCTATCAAGGCTCTTGTTTTGATCACGGCTTTTAGCTAGTACAATAATTCTTGAATGATCTCTCCTCGATCTATTTGCCAGGCCAACTGTTTTTCCAATGAGCTATTTCACATTTTTTTCTATTTTTTTTTTAATTCTTTTGACTTTGTCTTATTGTTTCCTGATGTCTCAAAGAGTCATTATCTTCCACTTGCCCAATTCTAATTTTTAAGGAATTATTTTCTTCAGAAAGGTTTTATATTTCTTTTACCAACTGGCCAATTATGATTTTTAAGGAGTTATTTTCTTAAGTATTTTTTGAGCCCTTTTTTTTACCAAAGTATTAATTCTCTTTTCATAATTTTCTTGCATAAGTCATTTCTTTTCCCAATTTATCCTCAAGTGCTCTTACTTGATTTTTAAAATCTTTTTTTTTTGCTTATTTTTAGTCTTATTTAGTTCTTGTAGGAATTCTTATTGGATTGTGTACAATCTGTAGTTTTCTTTGAGGCTTTGCTTGTAGACACGTTCATGTCGTCTTCTGAGTTTGTGTCTTGAACTTTCATGTCACCATAACAGATTTTTATGATCAGTTTTTTTGGTTTTTTGGTTTTTTTGGGGTGGGGATATTTTTTCCAGCTATTTCTTGTCTAAGAAGTTTATAGTACAGTTGGGTTCTGCTCAAAAGGAGGAGTAAATGGAGAGGGGTTATTGTCCCAAATTTCTGCCTTTTCCATGCTGCTGTTTTTATAGCTAGTTCTGTGGGGGCCTGTGAGTTTTCAGTGCTTCCAAGGTGGTATGATCCAGGGAGAGGTGCAGTCATGCTTACTTGGTCTGAACTCTGGTCCTTACCCACATAATATCCCTGTTTTCTTGCAACTACAAGCACTCCTCTCTGCCCTAGAACTGCAACCCAGAACTAGGTAATGGGTAATGGAATTGCCTGGTCCTATGCTAGTACTAGCAAAGGGTTCCTCTGGAATCTCTGACCAGGTGTTCAATACCCTTACCATTGCTGGGCATTAAGAGTTCCTGTTTCTAATGCTACTGTTGCTGTCACTATCTCCCCCACGTCCCACAGCTAGAGTGCACTAAGCTCCTCTCCAGCCCCCACCTTAGTGTCAGAGACCTTCCCTTCTGCCCTCCCAAGTTGTCCTGGGCTGGAAAAATGTCCCATCCCAACCTTTCATTATTTATGCCACTTTAGAATTTGATCTGATGCATTATTTTAAAGTTGTTTAAAGGGGAATGTTGGGAGAATTCATCTAGAATATTCCTTTTCCTTGGCCATCTTGGCTCCACCCACCCCCTCCAAAAAATTTTTAAGTACTCTACAGTAATGACAAAATGAATCATTTTCTCTGTGTGTGTGTGTGTGTGTGTGTGTGTGTGTGTGTTTTAGTAACCTGTGACAAAATGCTGTGTCATCCCTCTCCCAGATGCAACCAATTTTGAAAGAAAGGTAGGAGGATGGGGGAAGGAGAGGTACAAAATTATTAACTTGTTCATCAGCTACTACTTTTGGATTGGGAGTCTTTTCCCAATTCACTTAGAACAATAAAAAAGACAGTTTGACTGCACAGAGAATACTTACACTCCCAACAACCCCATTTGCCTGCTTTTGCTTCTGTTGCTTTGACTGGGGCAATGGCACAGAGGCTACCTTTTTTTTCAAAGGTTTCTTTTTTTTTGATTTAGCAGTTTTCTTAGGTCCTTTACTCTTCTGCTGCCATCCTCTAGTCTTATTCTTGTTGGCATCACCTTGCTACAATACACCAAAAAAGGGCAAGTGCAAAGTGTAACACATTAAAAAATATATATGCCTACAATTAATATTTTATGCAATTATCTTAACTACACATACACAAACTGAGAACTGTGGTAATGGATATGTTCTGGAAGTTAAATAAGTAAATTTTTAGATTAAAAAGGTTATAATAAATGTTTTTTTTAAACTTCCTAAAATCTACATGAACAAGTCAATCAGTTCCCCAAATAAAAGATTATTTCTTCAACCAATTAGTGCAGGTGCTATCATGAAAGCCCAAGTTCTTAATTAACTTGCCCCATCTTCCGCCAGCTGCTCTTCTGCAGCACAGATAGACTGTTCCTTTTCAAATACTTCCTGAGGGGAAAAAAAGGGAAAAAGAAAAACATTAAGTCAATTGGCAATTTACTACCAAATAACAAAGCATTTCTGCAGCAAAACAATATCAATAAAAGGTGTTTTCACCCCTCAACAACACATTATCTAATTACAAAAATACACCTCCACTGCTTATAATCTATCATATTTACCTTGGAAGTTTTTAGATGTGCAGCACTAATATGAATTTCTTGAATGAAAAGTACAATGTAACAAAGAATAGTTAATTCATATTTCACTGCAATTCTTAATGTGTCTTTAATTGAACATATAAAATATTCCATTTTAAATTTTATTTTAGCATAATTCCCAAGAGTTAAAACATGAATTTTTCTATCCTTTTTAAAACTTGAGAGAGTGTGAAAAGCCAGATATTGGAGTCAGGAAGATATTGGGTTAAGTCTCTGCTCTCTTACATACTAGCTGTGACTTTGGACAAATTACTTAATCTCTCAATGCCCTAGGCAACTCTCTCTTAGGCAGAGGTTCTTAACCTATGGTTCATGAACTTGAATTTTTTTTTTTATATCTTGATCATTTCATTACAATATAATTATATACTTTGTAATACTTATAGTTTATTTTATGCACTGAAAAACATGCTGAGAAGTGATCCAAGCTTTGTGAATTGCCAAAGGAGTCTAACAAGGCTATTAAGTTTCAGAAAAATTGCTTATCTGCATTTTTGAAGCAAATTTCCTCATCAAGTATTCTCTACAACAATGAAATCACAGATCCAGACCAAAGAAAAGATAATAAAACCAAACTGTACTAGTAGCATTATTTTCTGAAATGTAAAACTACAATGAGCTTAAAATAGTTTACTTAGGAAAATAATAATTAAAAAGCACTATAAAAATGGATTACATTACACTGACTGCATCTTTAAAATGTTACTGTTTTCTAACCAGATCAGCTAAAGAAGACCAAGGTGATTCAGGGTCCATAACAATAGGATTTAAATCATAATGAGAAGAGAGACACCAGTTTGCAAAGAGATGGAATAATTACGGCTTTTACAGCTTTAATGTCCTCTGTGATATAATTCGGCTAAGATACTCAAAAGAGTATCAGGCCCCAGTATTAATTATAGCAAAATTTTGGTACAACAATCAATCTGAAAAGTCTTTTTGAATTTACTTTGTTTTTTATCTCAACTTCATTCTATTCAGATTTCCATTAGAAAATACTGCTATTAAGAAAACAAGCTAATTTAGGAAGAATGATTTTTTTTTTTTTGGTTGGGCAATAGGGATTAAGTGACTTGCCCAGGGTCACACAGCTAGTTAGGTGTTATGTATCTGAGGCCGCATTTGAACTCGGGTCCTCCTGAATCCAGGGCCGGTGCTCTATCCACTGCACCACCTAGCTGCCCCCAGAAGAATGATTTCAAATTGAGCATACGTATACAGACAGTTCCTGCTTTAACATATGCAGACAGGTTCTGCAGATTTCTACATAAAACAATTTTTACACAGATTTGCCCACAGACATGGTTGAAAGGAAGGAGGAAGACAGAAAGGGGTCTGCATGCCCATGGAGGGTCAGGACATGGTTTTAAGGGCATGTGAGGGCCTGGGACAAAGAAGCAAGAGCAAGAGTAAGAACATGGGGGAGCCAGCCATGTGAGGGCCAGGGCCAGCAGTCAGAAACAAGAAGAAGAATACACAGAGGGTAGATACATGAAGGCCAGGATGATATGCAGGGACAAACAAGCAGGACTCAGGTGTGGATGGCCAGAAGACAGACATGGATGAGCGAGAAAGGACAAAAGTCTCCTCTCTCCACACTAGAGGTCTCAAGCCAAGCCCTCAATCAGCAGCGATGGCAGTCTCTGTCAATCTGTTCTTCTGCTTTCACTTGAAGGGTTTTCTTTAAGGTTTTTGTGTGTTTGTTGGTTTGGTTTTTTTGCGGGGGATCTGGGAGGCCTCAGAGAGCAAAACCAAGAGGCAGGAGGGGAGAGAGGGAGAAAAAGAGAGAAAGTGACAGAGAGAGAAAGAGAGAGAGAAATCATGAGTGCAAGCACACAGTAAAGTTAACATAGGTCTTTTTTTGGAATGCAAATTTCTTTCAGAACTCTTCATGTACATAGTCAAATTTGCATAATGCAGATTTCCATAAAATAAGAACTGAATTGATTTTTTTTTACAATTTTCAAGATTTTTATTGATCAGGTTAATTTCTTTTTTTAATTAACTTTTTTTCAATTACCAAACATTTATTTTCTTTCCCACTCATCTTTCCAGTATTCCAAGGAGGGTAGAGATGGAAATGAGGGATGATGCCTAACGGTGTATTTCCCAGGTCCTTTTTTATTTTTACTATTTGCCAAAATGTTTGGGCCAATTAATGCCCTAGAAACAGTAAATCAGCATGCTTGACTTTCTGCAGTCCCCACAAGGTTAATTAGTTCTTATCCTTTATCTTAGCCAATTTGCTGGATGTAAGGTGACACCAAACAGTTGTTTTGATTTTCATTTTTCTTATTAGTGACTGGGGAAAATATTTCATATAGCTGTTAACAGTTTGTAATTCCTCTTTTGATAAGTGTTTATATTCTTTGACTACTTATTTATCAGATAACATCTCTTCGTCTCCTATATTCATATTAATTATATGTCTTAGATTTTAAACTTTTATCAAAGATATCTGATGCAAAGATTTTTTTTTCCAATTAAAAGCTTCCCTTATTCTAGCTGCATTGATTTTGTTCATGTAAAAGCGTTTCAATTTTATGTAACTGAAATTAGCAATTTTATCTTCGTGATTACCTCTGTCCTTTATGTTTGCTTTCCTCCTTCTTTCAAGGAATCCAAAGTGCTTTCCATATCTAAATACTGTTTTTCTTTAGATGGGAGGTAATAATTATGCCTGATAGTGTAGCAATTGTCTCTTAAGCTTCAATGAGTATCCCTAACATATTAGTGTCAGACCTGAGGGCCAGCAATCTGAACATACAGGGATTTGTTATAATATATGCTAAGAGCTCACTAAATGGCATAATCACATTTTACTAGTTTATCTAATGTTTAGTAGTAAAATAAATACTACTTATTGTTGATCAAATCAATCAATCAATCATTAATATCAAAGCACATTAAATACGTGCCCAAAACATCAAGTCTCTTTGCAAATGGGAACAAAGGGAATTGGGAACATTTTTCTCAACAAAAAATGGATATAAAGCTACTTTCCTTTACCTAATTAATTTGTTGTGATAGGTAAATAAATAGTATAATAATACAGACATCAATTTTTCACAGCTGTACCTAGTTGAAGAAAAAGAGAGTACACATAGCATCACAACTTTGCTTAGACAAGAAATATCAAGTACTAGGGAGCAGATGGGCCATTTCCATGCCCAGAACTAATGTCTAAGGAAACAGATTCAAGAAGCATTAAGTGACCTCTGTAACTATCTTCACTACTGGCTACTGTAATACTCTTCCCTCTTCTCCCACCCCCAACCCATATTTCTCCATACAATTCACTTAGCTCTCCCTATACAGCCTCCCTCTCCTACTCCCACCCCCACCCCCACCAACCTAGAAAACATGCCAAACTAAATTCTGACCAGGAAAGTCAAGAAAAAGTCACAGTGAGTTATTTTTCCAGCCCAGGGCAGCTTAAGAGAGGCCTATTGACACTGGGGTGGAGGCTGGTCTTGAGCATGTTGAAGCAATGCCTGTATATGGAGCAAGGAACAAATTCCAGAATTATAGCAGTGTGGCTCTGAGCCCAAGAGAAGAGATGGGACTCAGTTCTAACCTTTATTCCACACATGAGACTACAGTGTCAGGAGATCAAACCAAAGGGGAGTCAGCCATTCTGAATCTGCAGAACCTTCCAGCTAGCCAACTATGACTGAGTACAGCAGTACTCTACAGAAACTCAACAATTTACAAGCTAACAGACCCAAACCAGGTCAGGAATTTGCAGAGTGCAAACCAGGAGAGTAGTGAACAGACCTCTTCCCAGATCACACAACTTGAGAAGCACACAAAAGCTTACAGACCCCTTTTTCTACTGAAAGCAATAGGACATTTAAAAAAAAAAAATCTCAGGCTACACATTCAACACAAACTCTCAGAGATGAGCACAACCCAATTCAATATTAAGTCCAAAGCAGGCGGGAAAAATGAGTAAACAATAACAACAAAAAAAGAATTCAATCATAAAACTCTACTATGGTGACAAAGAAGCTCAAGATACAAGACATGAACTGACACAAAGTGAAATGAACAGAACCAGAACATTGTATACAGTAACAGCAATACTGTACAATGAAGAGTTGTAAATGACTTAGCTACCTCAGTAATATAATGATTCAAGACAATCCCAAAGGACTCATGATGAAAAATGCTATCCACCTCCAGAGAAAAACTGATATTGTCTGAATACAGACTGAAGTATACTACTTTTCACTTTCTTTCTTTCTTTTTTTTGTTTAAGTCTTCTTACCCAAAATGAGAAATACAGAAATGTTTTATGTGACTACACATGTGTAACTTATATCATATTGCTTACCATCTCAGGGAGGGGGTAACAGAGGGAAGGAGGGATAGAATTTGGACTCAAAAGTTAAAAAAAAAGTTAAAAATTGTTTTTACATATAACTGACTAAATCTAATGTCTCATTGTCTGATGAAGGTAAAACTTAGGGTTCTTAAAGGGTACACATTAGTGGAACACAAATGGTGGCATATCCTACCAAGCTGGAAAAGTTTTCAGTACAGGCCCAGGTACAGCCCTAAGTCTGCCATTAAGTTGGTCACCAGATGACGTAGGGCCGTGGCAACTCATGAAATTCTCTACTAAGATTCTGGGGGGTGGTGGAGAGAAGAAAGGATGAAGTACAACAATTTGCATCAGTGAAAACAGTATCCACACCAATGAAATCACAGAGATTTTGAGGTAAAAGCACCACTAAAATAAATCTAACCAAAAAGAATACATTCCACATTTTTAGATTCATTAAGCAAAGCAACAAATAATTACCGCCATTGTCTGCCTTGTCAATTTGACCAATACTGTGACAAGGGATCCTACGGTGATATTATTGCTATCTTCATCATCTAATACTGTAAAACAAAAGGAATAAAGTGTTAAAAAATGAAAATTATGAGGTTCTTAGTTCTAAGTCAACCTAAGCAATAAAATTTCACCAAAACCAATTCAGAGCAGAAGCCCTATGAATTTAATATTCTGGTATTCACCAAATAAACTGGATTTTTAAACATTAGTTAATATGAAATTACAATTCTGTAATAGCCTGAAAATTATACAATAATTTTTTATTAACCTGGCATTACTATATTCTCTTAGGAAATAAACTTATAGAGTATAATCACAGTGACCACTAACTTACTTTGTCTTCTGTGACACTGTAGTGTCCTGGTTGTAACCTCTCTTATTTCTTCTTCTCCAACAATGTGGGCATAAGCCATGGCTCAAGTCCTCAGCTCTGTTCACGCTCTACTCTCCCTCTTTCCAAGATTTCATCTATCCTTGCTGCTTAAATTATCACTTATAATATTACAATGCTAACCTTGATTTCTCTCCTGACCTTCAGGCAATAATTGTCTACCCGAGGGAATCAGCAAACTACAGAGCTACTAATGGTTTTTACATTTTTAAATAAAGTTTTATTATATTTAAAAATGTAAAAACCATTCTTAGCTCACAGGACATACAAAAACAGATTTTGGGGGACCCCTGATCTACCTGGATATTCTGCCTTCATTTCAAACTCAAGTACCTCTTAGTTTCCCTATTTTTCTTGTCTCAATAACCTTCACTTGAAGGTTGGAAGGCATTCTTGATTTCACCTCTTCGTTTCCCACTATTTCCAATGAGTTACTAAAATCATGTTGTGATTTATCCACTGCTTCTGCCTCTCTAAGGCTTTCATCCTGTGAATACATCCTACATTCTATTGCTAGATTAACTTCCCTAAAACACTACTTTGCATACTTCAGCCCTCTTTTTCAAAAAACTTTCAGTGGTTCTCCACTGCTTACAAGATAAAACACTGACATCCCTTTCCATTATTCTCTTCCACATTCAACTACATGAACCTCTGAAATTGAATTCATTCCGTTAATTAATAATCTTAGAGTTCCATCATTCAACTAACTAGAAATCCAACTATTATCAACACCCCTGTGGCATATAATACCTATTAAGCAATCTTAACCAGAGCACATACCCCAAGTCAAATTATTTAGTCCTTTGTCCCCCTGGCCTAGATGCATATGTGTATGGATTAAAAGATCAGGGAAACCTTCATGAAGACAGGAGCACTTGACCTTGCATTGAAGATTTAGCAGGAATTCAAATGGAGGTGAAGAGGAAGATAAAAAGGGGTAGAGATAGGGAATGGCATGAGGCAAGAAAGCACAAAATATATTTGAGGAAAATTAAGTAGTCCAGTTTGGCTGGAGTTTAGAATACTTGATAGTAAGGTGAGTTGAAGTGCTAAGGATAAAAAATAAAGGCTTCCTCCTCCAGCTCTAAAATGTTACTTTCTACATGCCTATTAATATTGACAACGATAGCCCATAAAGGATATTGAGGAAAATAATTTTATTTCTTCCTCAAAATTGAGCCTAAGGAACAAATATGATGAGAGTAAACACAAAAATATAGTAGAACAATGTACAATATGTTTATATCTTAATTCACCAAATGAAAACTATCTTTCTTTAAAAGATATGTAATTTGGAGCAACAATTCCTTTTGTCTCACAATAGCAGTATTTCTAAACTTTGAGAATGAAAAATCCTCTATCACTACGTAAGTCTAAATTGTTCTTTGCAAAGTTAAGAAATGGATCTTAGTGTCGTTTCCACCCTGCCAGGAGAGTCACATGGAGAGATCAATGTGCAGGCTGAAAAACAAGAGAAAGATAAGGCAGAGGTCCAAGCAAGCTGACTGTGTTGACAACAGAGTGGCACCTGGATGAAGCCTTCAGAGATGTTACCCTATAGAAGACTTCACCACGTTCCTATCATCATCTGAATCCTTCTTGACACATGACATTGCAGATTTACTTGCTTCAAATCAATTCATACAAAATTCACTTAGTTATGTGCTGGAGCCTCCTGGTTTTTTTGCAAATTGTTCCATAAAACAGACTGTTCTCCCAAACCCAAGTCTTATACATATTATCATACTAAGATAGCACTATAGAGTCAGTCAATAAAACTTATTAAGTGCTTATGTATCAGGCACTGTGCTAAGCACTGGGGATACAAAAGTAGAAGAGAGTCCCTGCTATCAAAAAGTTCATGGTCTAATGGGGGAGACAATATACAAATAACTACGTACCAACAAGCTACATGCAGGAAAAATTGGAAATAACCAATGGAGAGAAGTCACTAGAATTAAGGGGGATCAGGAGAGACTTCCTGTAAAAGGAATGATTTTAGCTTGGACTTGAAGGGAGCCAGGAGGCAGATCTAAGGAGACAGGGTATTTCTGGCATGAGGGGATAGCCAGTGATCAGGAGATGGAATGTTTTATTTGAGAAAAAGCAAGGTTAGTGTCACTAGATTGTTGTAGGGAGAGAGAAGCGCAAGATATAGTTCAAAAAAATGTTCATCATTTATTTTTTATAATAAATTAAAATTTCTTGACCTGTGGGTTATAAGTAATGTTAGAGAGGGGAAAGTTGTATTTTTTTTTGTTTCTTAAGCAACCATATAAGCACTAATATTTCAAAGGGGCAGCAGTGTTCATTGACAAAACACGGTCACTTACCTTGTGATTTTATGTCCATAGTCACAAATGGAAAACTACCAAGGACAGCCATAACCTCTTCATATTTCTCATCTTCTAAGAAGTGCAATAAGTTGCGGCGATCAGATTCTTTTAAACTCACCAAATCCTGGATAGTTTTGATTTTGAACTTTAAAAAAAAGAAAAATAAGCTAAATAAGTCTATTACGTATTAATAGGGGAAAATGAGCACTTTAATTAGATCTTCAATGACTTGAAAAAATGTTAAGCTAAGTGTTTTATATTTTATGCTTTTCAAAATATTACTTATTTAGAATTTTAAAACATCAAATTCAACATTTTATTTGACCTTTTTCTCAAACAGAGCTAAACTGTCTGAAAGCACACAATGACACTTTGGGGAGAAAATAATTAAATGAATATTAAAATGCAACAACCAGTTTGATTATTACATATTGCCATACAGTAACCTGGCAACAAAAAACATTTTCTAGAGACTATTTGATTTTTTTTAAAAAGTGTCACCACACAATTATATCAGTGGTGTCTGTCACCACTACAAAAACAACACAGTGGTTTCTATCTACTTTGTATTAGAAACAAGAGCTATTCTCTTAAGAGTATTCAATGAAACCAAGACTAACACAAACATGCAAACACTTATTTTGAAGAACCAAAACCTAATCAACTATATACCTTTTTATGATTAGAAACCCGTCTAAGATTGTCCTCTTCAATATGAGGGAGCTGAAGAAGAGGAGATTTAAATTGCTGAAGGCCTTGAACAGACATCTGGGAAAGCTTCATGCAATTCTCCAGGGATCCCAAAGTTGGAGCACGAAACTCCCTTTCTTAGAAAGAATTAAAAAAACAAGGCTGCACTTTTTACATGCTTTACAATACGTTAATGTAACCCACACAAAATAAAGCAGGAGAATCAATTCTGACATTTATACACGAAAAGAAATAACATTATTTTATATCCAGCAAACCTCAAACAGGAAAAAGTATACCTTCCAAGAAATAAACAAGAAAGGAAGGGTACTGTAAAAAATAAACTATCTTTTCAAAGGTTCAAAGAACACCCTGCCATAACCACTACTTTAACAGTCACTTCTATTGACAGTCATAAGCTACCATATCCTTTGTCAGTAGCAAGACCAAGTTGACGGCATGGTAAGAATTTAGGTATCTTTGTTATTCTTTCCTGTGTTTTGCAAATTACTGTATAATGCTGATAGAAAAACATAAATTCATCTCATGAGCAGCTAAAGGTAAATGTTATCTTAAACTTAGGTGTGCCTTTCTTCCCCTTTTAGAACTTCTCCCATATCAACATATTCAAATCTTATAAAGCTGAATAAGATAAATAATAAAATCAATCAGCACCTTTTAAAGAAAACTATTTCATTAAGTAGTTAAGGCGAACATATTATCAGCTTCACTAAGAAAATGAATACGTTTTTAAAAACTAATCATGATCTCACAATTTTGATTTCTGGAATCCTTTCTTCGCACTACTAAATTCTTACATCCTCTTCAGAGAATATGAGACTTTATTACTTATTAGTACCAGTTCACTCCATAACCATTAAGTTTCAGTGTTTAAAACAAAAAAAAAAAA